GTATATACACCCGAAGAACCCCGAAGCGGGGCCCTTGCTGCTGCAGCAAACGACGCAGCTGCGCTAGGCGGTGCTGGTACCGCCGCCACCACCCAACCAGGTGTACGTACACCTGAGCATTCGACATCACTGAGCAGCCAACTGCTGCAGGATAAAAACGACAAACTGCTGATATATGTTGGCTAATAGGGCGCAGCACAGAATTCACAGAAAGATTGTTGCAGCGGGAACGCTGTCTGCTGCTGCTGCTGCTGCTGCTGTTGCTGCTGTTGCTGCTGCTCTCTTCTTTCTGCAGCAAACGACGTAAATATTGCTCGTACGATGACACAGCTGGCGCGTGCAATGCGGTTGGCCTGCTGCTGTTGCTGCTGCTGCTGCTGCTGCTGCTGCTGCTGCTCGATCCAGCTGCGACTGTTGCTGCTCCTCGCAAGCCGGCTGCTGCTGCTGCTAAAGGCGCGGGCAAGTGCCGCCCTTGGAGAGGCAGCAATGCTCCAGCGCTCCTTGGGCCAGAGCTGTTCCCCTGCTGCTGCTGCTGCTGCTGCTGCTGCTGCTGCTGTTGGCTAGCAGCTAGCTGCTGCTGCGCCTGCAGCAGCAACCGCGCCAGAGCAGCGCCGCTGGGGCCCCTGGATAGGTTGACGAGGGGGCGGCAGCCGCGAAGCTTCGGAAGGAAGCGAACGCGGGGGACAGATGAAGCAGCAATTGAGACTGGGTTTGCTGCTGCTGCTGCTGCTGCTGCTGCTGTTGCTGCTGCTGCTGCTGTTGTTGCTTCTCCTGTTGGTGCTGCTGCTGCTCCTGCTGCTGCATCGCGGCTTGCAACTGCTGCAGAGACAGCCGAGACGAGGGCATCTGCGTCAAAAGGCCCAATCATATGTCTCTTGCTGCTGTTGTTGTAGCTGCTGCTGCTGCTGCTGCTGCTGCTGTTTCTGCTGCTGTCGCTAACGCAGCAGCTGTGGCAGCTCTGTCTACTAATGCTGCTGCGGATGCTGCTGCAGCCGCTGCCGGTTAGCACCTCTTGCTGCTCGCTGTTGCCCATAGAGGCGGCTGCTGCAGCAGCACGAAGTCTCTTCGTTCTTGTATCGCCCCTTTCAGCAGCAGCAGCAGCAGCAGCGGCAGCAGCTAGCTGCCGTTTTCTGGAGATCCCGAGGGTCTCCATCAGCTCCGTCTCACCCCGTTCTGCTGCTGTTAGTGCTGCTGTTTCTCCTGCTGCTGCCGCTGCTGCTGCTGCTTCTGTTAGTGCTGCTGTTTCTCCTGCTGCTGCTGCTGCTGCTGCTGCAGCGGAGCCACCAGCAGGGCGCAGCTGAAAGCAATCTGTATAAAGACGAGCTGCAGCAGCAGACTCAACCGCGCGCCAAATGCCTTTGCGGTAGTAACGCGAGCGACGCTGTGAGGCCTCTGCCTCCGTCACATAAAAGTGGCACCTGCAGCAGCAGCAGCAGCAGCAGCAGCAGCAGCAACAGCAGCAGCAGCAGCAGCAACAGCAACAGCAGCAG